TGTTTTTAACTGTGTACCAGTTTAACGTTGAATATTATTTATAATTTTAACTTTATACACAAGTGCCAAAATACTATAATTAGGTAAACAACTGTATTCATCATTTTTTTAACTTGGACTTTACAATTCAGATGTCATACTTTAAGGTTAACATTTAACTTTTTTTTTGTCAGTAAATAATTATAAAATGTTTAACATTATAAAAATCTGTAATACAATTTGTCATAAAACTGACTATTAGTAGAACCACTTTAGAATTTTTCTATTTATTTTCTTTTGTCAAATCATATACTATTCAGCTTTAATTCTTATACATATCAATTTTTTTGTTCCATTAAAAATACATAAGCCACTCAATCCTTGTTGGAAGCTTTCACAAAGATCCTACTGGACTAGCTTAGCTTCCCTAATTCAGCTTTTTTAAAGATTTCTGAGGCTGTAAAGATTACTGAATCAATAATTCCTGCTACTGTAAAGGTACCTCCAACAATAGCACAAACCTGGAAGAAAAAAAAAACGGCTTTTTTTCATCACCTTTCAAACCTTCATTAGGTTAAGGTAAAATTCAGAAAAAATGTCTAGATGTACTAAAGAAAACACTAAAATGTATTTACTATCATTATCTATTCCAAACAACCTCAAGGAACAAACGAATAAATTTGCACAAAATAAAATGTACATTCTCTTTGACTATAAAGCAAACTGTACTTGATATTTCATCTTTTTTTATATCTGTAATCAGTTTTTATAAGAAGATAAAATATGGAAGTATACACAATTCCTTATTTATTCAAAATAAGCTGCTTGAAAGATATAATTAGCAGGTGGATTATATTGATAAATATAAAATCATAGACAACCTGACTGGAGAAATCAGACAAAAGTTAACAGACAGATACATTTAAGTGATGGATTTTTTTAATACTCCTCATCAAAAAATATTAATTTCAGAAAATACACACTCCAGACCTATGTTCCCTACATCAATATCTATTAAATGTTGAGTACTGTATGATCACCTTAGTTCAATGTGCAATAGAGTTCAAACATACTTAAATCAGACTAATAAAGTGAATTGAATGTACTAAATTATATCACTATAATACTGTGTGCAATATGGTGTAACATACATAATAGATAAATGTACATCACTTGGAAACAGAAATGTAGATGTATCACACAAAATAAAAGCATTGTACATGTAACGGTAATGTACCTTACGTGGAAACACACAAAATACAGGTATTGTAGATGTAACACAAAAACTGTACGTGTAACTAGGTAACATACATTACTTGGAAATTGAAATGTAGATGTAAGAGACAAAATAAAAGCATTTTACAAGTACCTAGGTAACATACATCATGTGGAAACTGAAATGTAGATCTACAACACAAAATAAAGCATTTTACATGCACCTAGGTAACATACATCACTTGGAAAGTGTGAAACGTAGTTGTACAACACAAAATAAAGCATTTTACATGCACCTAGGTAACATACATCACTTGGAAAGTGTGAAACGTAGTTGTACAACACAAAATAAAGCATTTTACATGCACCTAGGTAACATACATCACTTGGAAAGTGTGAAACGTAGATGTACAACACAAAATAAAGCATTTTACATGCACCTAAGTAACATACATCACTTGGAAAGTGTGAAACGTAGTTGTACAACACAAAATAAAGCATTTTACATGTACCTAGGTAATGTATATCACATGGAAACTGAAATGAAGATGTACAACACAAAATAAAGCATTTTACATGTACCTAGGTAATGTACATCACGTGGAAACTGATATGAAGATGTACAACACAAAATAGACATTGTATCTGTGTCTGAAAAAATTCATAAAACTTTCTATTTACATACTTAGGTATGATATAAACTACAGGGATCTCACCAACTGAAATATCCCATGGTTATATCAACCGTGTACCATGTAATAAGGAACGTTTATAATAGAAACAATAGAGTAACAGCAAAGAAAATTATGTACTTACAGTTGTTATAAAACTATATAGTGGTTGTCTCTTTTCTGTGTATTTCACAGTGATTGGGTTTAAATCATAGCGAAACCAGATTGCTGGAATAATTCGTCCACTGTGACTAAAGGCCACATAAGTCTGAAAAACACATAACCAAATTAACTTCAACAGCTACCCAAACACTAGCGAGTCAAAAACAGAAAATTATCAATAACTGTAACTAGCACATACATTTTTCAATTATGTTTTTTTAAGACAACCAACCAAAGTGTTGGAAGTTATAAGATGATAAAGCTGAAATTGTCGATGGTTGGTAATTGTCACAAAATAAACAATGTAATGTCATGGTTGAAACAGTGTACTTCAAAGAAAGAATAATAACAGACTTATATGGTACACTAATCAAATACGGATTGTTTTGTCGAGGTGTTATATATTTTATTTTTAAGCTATGCATTACAATTACCTAGCTTGAACGTGAATGTAAGATGAAAACATAAACATTTATTTATTACCACACAACGTCCAAGAACAAATCAAATAATTTGTAATAGATCAAAGTGTTGAAAGCTTAAGTATAAAACTCAAAGTCTGATAAATCCTTTCTCGCCCAAGAAATCTAGCATGTATGCAACTTGTGCTTTTTATGTTCCACCAAATTGATTTATGATAGGTGTTAAGAAATAACTTTATTAATCTGATATACGGAAATTTCAATGTAATGGTTAACTTCACTTGGTTTTAAATTATGACAAAATATTGCATAAATGATAAAATACACAATCCTAACAAGTACTTGTATTTGTGTATGGAAGCACATTAAATATTGCCTAAATGATAAAATACACAATCCTAACAAGTACTTGTACTTGTGTATGGAAGTACATTAAATATTGCCTAAATGATAAAATACACAATCATAACAAGTACTTGTATTTGTGTATGGAAGCACATTAAATATTGCATAAATGATAAAATACACAATCCTAACAAGTACTTGTACTTGTATAAGGAAGCACATTATGCTAATATAGTACTAAATTAAATAAAACAAACAATATGTTAGCATAATGATACTTACTGTACAAAACATTCTACATATTTCAGTCTGAAGAAGGTAAACCAAGGTACTATCGAAACATAGTATGTTTCTACCATAAATATCATTGTGCTTCAACTCGTTTGTTACTTTACTATTGTAACAAGTAACATCATCATATAATGTATACCACTGTAACAAGTAATATCAATATGTAACATTTAAGTAGCCTCTCATGTTAGTGAACAACAATGTATGCTGTTTTTCTATAAATTCAGCACTTCAGCTTGAAAAACTTTGATGAAGTGATTTTTATTTATCAAGCAAAAGAAATTTATGAATAGCTGGTTAAAGAGGTTAAATATGGCAATTTACAGCATCATAGACATAATTTCTGGCTAATTATTAAAATGAAATGCGTTAAGCTTACGTTTAACTCGTGTTAACCCGCAGTACGAATGGTTCAGTTAAAAGTATGTACATCATGTCTTATGCCTGAAAGACTACGGTAAAAGTATCCTGTCTTTGATTCCTATGACAATAAAGAACAGGAGACAAGCCAGTAAACTACTATACATAAAATGTATTAAGACTTTCTATCAGCATTGAAAGAAACAGCAAAATAATGCCAGATTTACAAAAAGAACAAAATAGCTTACTTTGTTAACATGTATTAAAGCTATCAATTGAAATACATACTGCCATTACCACTAAAATATTAAGATCAAACATATAATCTGAACAATGGCACATTTGATGATGATTTCAGTTTTTACATTACAGACCTGCCCATTTTTAATAATATAGAAAAATACAGTCTATTTAGTCAATTTTGAGAGTTATAAAGTACTTCTTACGTCTTATTTCATAAAATAAGGAAGAATACGTATTGCTTAACATAAGCAACTCAAGTAATAATGACTACTTACTGCTATGCATAATATTTTATAGCATTATAATGGACCGTTTAACATAATTGGGAACACGCTGGTAATATCTGTACTACATATATCACACTTTTACTATATACAACAACATTTTCTGGCATTAAAAACATAAATAAAAAACTTTGGGGCATAGCACTCCACTTGTCACATGCTAATGTTCTTTATTTATTACATAACATCAAGTATGTTAATGTTTCTCATACTTAAGCTATGGATGTTCTTGGTATTTTTCTATGGAAATATAACTTTAAGTACTTAAAAGACATATAATATCTTTAATATGTCACACTGCGACACTATTAATATTGAAATTGGTGTCATGCTTCCTGTGCATTTTTTTCAGAAGTGGCTGAAATACTGTGTTTTACAAACGACAGATTTTTCTTATTGTTCAAACCTTGTAAAACGTAGCTAACCGATATGATGGTGGATGTGGTTTACTTGAGCTACAGTAAAATAGCTGAATAAAAAATGTCTACCTTGTAAGCATAAGTGTATTGATATGACTCTGTTTTTTGTCCTGATAAATCTTCATAAATTGTCGGAACTATCTTCATCACGTAGTCGTGAGATCCAATGTCTGAAACACAAATACACTCCTTTTTTTATTTAAAAAATAAAGTATTTTTAGTCTTTTTTAAATTATTACTTTCATCTCAGGCTTTCCCAAGTTTCTTTTCTTAATCTTTCTTTCTCTCATAGAAACCATGTCACAAGCGTGATCCAATTAACAAATATTTAAAATCAGTCAGTTAAAATGTAAAAACTTGAAAAATGTCTCCAAACTTCACATAAAAAAATTGATTATGCATTAAGAAGTTATCTTTTCTTTTTTAATCAGTTAATACATACGTAGCATATTTGATTTCTTCACATATATATATATAATTTATTTACACACAAGTTACACATTTTCTTCAGGAATCATTCAATTAGAACTCTAAGCAGACAAAGCAGTAAAAATAAGATAGAGAACTGTAGAACTGGTAGAAAAATAGTCTCTAGCTTACCTTGTGAATCTTCTTTGTTTACATCTTTCAAGGGATTAAAACTTCCTCGTGATTGGTCTTTCTGTAACAATAGTCCCACAGTAACAAAGATAAGAATTAGGATACAAATGCACATCCACGAACAACACAATACACTGTCAAGCATTTAAATGTCATTATCAATTAAAGGAATTTATTAAAAAAAAAATTAAATTACAAGATAACTGACATCCATCTTATAAATGAAAAGAGAACATGAGCTATTTAAAAGTTCAACATAAAAACAATGGTGTTTCCAATGTTTTTTTTATAATACTTATAGTACTTAAACTTGATTTTTTGCTATGGCCTAGTTCATGGATCCTGGTGAAGGGTTTTTTTTTGTTTTCATAACTTAATCTAACCTGAAGAGTAGACAGGTTTTCTTACCGGGAAAAAAGTTTATGGACGGAATAAATTTAATGCTATGTAAATGAAAATTTTGAGGATACTTAAAAATGTTTGAAAAAATATATCTGGGAAGATTAGGCACTCAGTTCAACTAAAGATCACTAATAGCAATAAAGATATTTAATATATATATATATATATATATATACATATATAAAGTACTTGTTAGTAAAAAAACAAGGTTATTGAAATACATTTACATCAATACTATAAACCTTCCTTACCTGATAAGACCAAATTAGTTACCACCTGTCCAAAGATATAGATGCTGATGATGATGTATTAACCTTACAACTAGTTGTTTTCTGAAATTTTTATCATACAAAATGTTAGTCTTACCTAAATGATTTCCTGCTCAATCTACATTAATAAAACTACCAGTTACATCAGGTGAAAGTCAACATCATCATCAGATCAACATATCAAGACGACTGGAGACAGTAAAAGTTGTTTGATGCAGGTTTTTTTTGGGCCATCTGTACAATGTTATGGATATTTAAAGGACACTTAAAAATTTATGAATTTTGTGGCTGCTGATAATACTGTATAGGCTGTACAGAGCTAGTTTTCCTCTTAGACAAAAAAACTTTTTTGGAAGTATCTGTTCCAACATACCACTTTTTGACCAAAACTGACTTCATGGATGAAATGTCCCATATCAATACTATCTGGCTGCTTAGAGGCGGCATGCGTAGATACATGAAAGTTACCAGGCACCTACAGAAAACAAAGTTGATAAAATGATCATTAAACAAAGAGATGTACTGAATATACAACCAATTATTCACCTATTTTTATTAGCTGGTAGTTATTATTTTCTAAATAGAATCTTAACACTTTACAATTGAAATGTGTGAAAAATTACATAATACTGTAATCCTTTCAACTTTTAGAGATTTTTATTTTGTGCAAAATGGCTTATTTTTCAGAATAGATCATGTGAAAGCAATCTTGAAAGCAGTCATCTGGTCCTCTTAGGATTTTGTGTAGCTGGTCAGAAATGATGAACATTTGTAGAGTAACAATTGTTGTTGTTTGTTATTAAGCACAAAGCTACACAAAGGGCTGTGCTCTGCCCACCACAGGTATCGAAACCCGGATTCTATCAGTATAAGCTTGCAGACATATCGCTGTGCCACTGGGTGGGTGTAGAGTAACAGAAAGAAAAAAAATTTCATCAGATGTAATCAGGTTCTGTACAATATATATATATATATATATATTTTTTTTTAACTCTAGATCATTTCTACAACTGGTATCTAATCCTAAATATAATATTAGTGCATAATATTTTGCATAGGCTTCTATCAGTTTATTGCAGTTTTTTTTTTTCAGTAACACTTAAGTTAACCATTGCTCATTTTATTTAGATTTACTGGTTCTTATTATGATGGTTTTCAGAGAAAGGTTTGACTTTTAATTCTGGGTTTCACTGAATCAGAACAGAAATTGCTAGCTCTTAACTGAGACGAAAGTAGATTCCAAATGACTGTGGATATCATACTAACATTTTCCACAAGAAATATCTCAAAGGTTTAATTTTAATAGTCAATGAGAAGCAAGATGGAACATGAAATAATGTGTAGTAAAAATGCAATATGCCAGAAGAAGTGTAAAAAATAGCACAAACTGATGAATATATATATATACAGTAGAAAATCAATTTAAAGTTTCAAAGAATACTTTATTTTAATAATTCTGGAAGAGACTAAAAACAAAGATTTTGATTTTTTAGGCTATCATAAACCTAAATCTTTTTTTTTATGACAATATCTTCTATTGCAATTGATTGCATTGAGGGGAGGTGTACCTGTTCATTAACCTTTTCACTGCAGCTGGGACGTATATTTCCAAGTGCAGTGGGAAATATACATCCCAACCACAGTGAATGGGTTAAAGAAGCTAAAAGTAGTAGAAAAATAAATGAACTCATTTATATACCAAAGCACTAAAGACCTTCAAAATAAGTTAATAACTTACAGCCTGTTTTAACCAGAGATGAAAACTAAAATTACCTGTCAAACATGATGATTAATGCTGTCTGATTGAAATCTAAGCTAGCTATCATACTGTTTTCTACCATAGGAGTCACTGTCAAAGCCATTCTATTTCAAACAAGCAAGTCAATATTTTCAGTTGTTGTTGTTTTTTTTTAACTTTCCTCCCATGAATAAAGGTAGAAATATACTCAGTGCATTATTCTGCTTATAAGGTAAACTCTATTTTAATTGGCAATTGTATACATGTAGCAAAACTTCTTAAGCATTGGCTATTATCTAAAGTATCAATAAAGTTTGTCTCAAACAATAATATATATATAATAACATAAATTATTTATGCTTCGTTAAAAACTTATTTTCTGAAGATGATAAATAAAAACTCCTGAATAGGTAAATTACCCTTTTGGTAATTTAATTAAAGACCTGGTGGAAAAATATAGTATCATTAAAACAAAATTGAAACAATTTCTAAATGGACACAAACAGATCAAAAATAGTATTGTGTTTGTTGTAAAGCATAAAGCTACACAATGGGCTACCTGAGCTGTGCTAACTTCAAGTATCAGAACCCAATTTTCAGTGTTACATGCCCTCAAATTCACTGCTGATCTACTGGGATGTACTCGGGCATATGAATGTAACACTAAAATATACAAAACCACTTACAATAACGCCAATTTTAAAAATAAAACCACAAGTTTTCTCTTAAATTTTTTTATTAGGATACAGAAATAATTTATTGATAGTTTTTTATATTAACCAATAAGGACAATTTATAATTTTCATATGTTATTACACAAATTGAACACTAGATGGAACTAGCATCTATTTTAAAAGATAAAACGATTGAAAAAATTTATAAAAAATGAAGAAAGTGTGCACTTACTTTGTTGATATAAAAGCTTCCCTCAAAACGACATCCCTTGCCATCGTTCAGCGGAACTTTTTCTGTGTTTTCCACAAATCCCACTTCATGTCTTCCCATTTCGTCTTGAATATCTAATCCCAACACTAGATGACAGCACAAGTCATATGAAGACTTTTAGTATCTTATCGAGAATATGAACTAATGAATAAAGTTTCAACTGTTTATAATTTACCTTAAGAAATATGTATCAATGGTTATCATTGACGAAAATCGGTATATAATACATCAAAAAGCAGTAAATGCAGAGATGCGCCAGTCCTTTAATATTTTAATCGTCATAACAGAGTCAAGAAATATTCTTTATCAAAACTCTAAGCCTTTCAAAGAAAATCAATATTTAAGGCGAAATATCTCCTTACTACTAGTCACGAATCGTAAAGCAAAATAGGAATGTGCTTATCGTCTTAACTGCCAGAGTGATGACCAAGTAAAAATCAAAAACCTTTCTACAACATCGCCATAATCAGATTTCTCAAGAATGAGTCTCTATTTTGGAATAGCAACTACTTGAAATAGGTTTTTTTATGAAGTGAAATTTCCAAACTGTCGTTAAGATCATAAAACATTTTTGTGTGAGGAATATAAATATTGGGTGTTGAAAAAAAAATGCGTATCTCTGCTACGACAGGAGTAAATCCTTTTTTTTTTAAGGGTTTGTTTGTTTGTTTACAGCAAAGCCACATTTGGCTATCTGCTCTGTCCACCGCGGGGAATAGAACCATGTAATTTAGCGTTGTAAGTCTGCAAACTTACCGCTGTCCCACATGGGGGAACATTTTTTAACGGAACCCAGCATTTAAATTCTTGGCTACGAACAAGCTTGCACATGAATTTTTACGTTGGCGAAACGCTGTTTACTAGCTAGTTAGTATTTTGAAAAGTTTCCTTATGAATAAGAACTCGGTAAGACATTTCAATTGCTACTTTTATATATATCTTCATAAATAACACTCAAAATTATCGCATGGGCTGGGTACATGTGTTAAAACCCAAAACAGAGAGCGTCATGAAAGTGATCGTTCAACAACACAATACAGCCATATTCTTTTCACGTAAACGTTCAACAAAGTTTGAGAATATTGATATAAATTTTTGTCAAACGCAACGAGTTCACCTAGTGGCAAATAGTACAAACAGTTGTAATCAAGGTACAGTGCACTTCAAAAAAAAAAGTCGTTATTCACGTACACTTCCATCTTGGAAAATGGTAGAAATAACGATTTTTAGTTTGGTGGGGGTGTGGGGGCGATAAAGATACGTGAATGATGTGAAACCCCAGTATATGTTGCCCCAGAGAGCAGATTCTTGTTTCCTGCTTACGCTTATGATGAGGAGAAGGGCCCAGTATATCATTAAGAACCAACCAAACAACGTTGAACACGCCGCTGACCAAAAACTATTCGTAACTAAAGTGGGCGTGGAACGTGAGAAAAAACACTTTTAAATCAAAACTTTCAAAGTGTGAGAATAATAGTTATTTAAACCAACAAACAAACACACATACACGCATAAATATATATAATATATCATTATAAGGATTGACAAGATTCCTGATATGTTCTTCAACTTCTGAAATGATACATCTGTGTGTGGGGGGTGGGGGTGACGTTTAGATTAAAATTTAGTTTCTAACTTAATTAATTCAATAACTCTTCTTAATCTACAAAGAAATAATAACCTAAAATACCATTAGCTACGGTAGTTAGAATTAGCATTTTATTTAAAAATGATTTTCTTATCCTAAGAACTGGATGTCGTATCTATTATTATCGCCAAATAGTCAATTGGATTATATATATAATAGTACAATATCACACAAGTAAACAGAAAGTAGGCGTTTCACATCTCTGGCTCGCGGCAAGTCACCAACACTAGTAGTTAAATCACACAAGATCAATTTGTATGCTTTCTGGGAAGATTATACACAGTAACAAGTGCGTGAAAATTACAGCCCAATGAACTCCAACAACTGGAAATGTAGCTTTGTTAGTTATCTTCGTCACTCAAATCTATAGTACTTCACCAATTAATTTTAATTAACGATGTGGCACATTCAGTTTAACAGATCGGCGAGATAAGCTACATACGTTATAAGAGTACACGAATTTACTAATTAATGAAATACCACATCAGAAAATAGAACCCTTGTTAACAGCTGTAAATCCTCATATGTATATTTTAGTCCTTTACCAAGCCACAACAAAAACAGTTTATGGTCATTTCAATTTCGTACTTACGCTTTCTGTATAATTGCTATTTTAGTTAAAAAAAAGACAAGTTATCAGATAACAAAATAGCCATAGAAAAGCTTAATTTTTCAATATGATCACTGGATAATGATTACTGGTTAACAGTGATAAAATGTAATTGTAACGTAGAAGTAAAAATGGTGTGTCTACCAAACTTGGGGCAAAGACGTGACGATCAGTACAGAATTATCTTACCATGTTATTCTCCCTTTTAATTTCACTATAAACGCTTATAAATCTGCTATAAATCAACACCTAAAGTTCGAAAAAATGATGACACTGGTATTTTGTTCTAAAAAACTTCTAGGACGCATGTATATCCCTAACATATTGCGAATAATGTTGAATAACGAAAACCTCTGAAGGTATATACGAGCGTTGTACATAAAATCGTGACTGTCATTTTCCAGAACACACGTGGCCTTTCATAAACATTGCGATACTTCAAAATAGGGCTGATTTTCTTATAATCTTTAACATGGTCAACACACACACACTTATGTGCACACGCACATATATATATATATATATGTATGTATATATATGTTATTGAAATACTTATTATCTCCTGTTACAAGTACATTAACAGAAAACAATATCTTCAGTCACATGTATTTTGTTTGTTATGGATTTCGCGCAAAGCTACACAA